TAGAGAAATAAAATTAAATAAAAATAGAGATAAAATAATATAAGGATAAATGAGAAAAACTTCTCATCCAAATTTACCAAATTTATCAGAAAATAAATTGTATTGTCCAAAATATAAGAAATACTAGCCATAACTTTACAAAAATTCTATGATATCCTTGTTTCACGATTATTTATAAAAAAAGATCGATGATCTCCGTTTACTCCATTACGTTGAATAATAAGCGACCGTTACTTCCTCGAATAATATTAATTCGATTCTGGATTACGATAGCTATCTCTATACACGTAAGAATATACCTGGCGCCTCTAAAATTTTCTACTACAACGTCGTTAAATTGTATTGGATCATGCTTGTTTGACTTGGCACGTCGCCAGCAACATAAATTCGTGTCAATTACGTTCGTAGTACAAAGTATTACGTCGTACGTGTCGAGTGACGTATCACGGTTATACCGTCGTATAGTACTGTAATAATTGTTGAATAAATTAGCGGTATCAGGGGCAATAGCATTTCTTCCTGGATTATGTTTATACGGTCTAAATATGGAGGGAAGCTTGTCACGACAAGATTTTATAATTTTTGTGTCTTGTCGAGATTGAAATTAATCGTCTTTTTAAAGTATTTAAGAGGGAGGAATATTTAATATTTTTTTGAAATTATAAGGATACATTATAATTAATATCAATATGAATTAGAAGAAGTTAAATTTTATATGTTTAGAAAAATAATGATTTATTTCAATTATATCGATCGAAATTTGTGCGAAGTTAAACAGGTAATATTATCCAATTTCGTCGTTATATTCAAAAAATTGTTGCAAGTGAAATAATATTTTAACAAGAAAATTGGCAAGGAGGTTGTAAAGAGTGGAACGTGTCGTGATGCGTCTGATTGAAGTAAGCATGATTCCACTGCCTACGTTCCTGACTCTTACTACTTGCAACAAACGTTTAGCCTAGTTTTTACTCGCGCCGCTGTAATTTGAATAAAATAGATGTTTGACTTTAGATCGTTTCGATCGAAATATCCGAAAAACTTCGTATGTGTTTCTTTTTTTGACGAAATAATTGAAATAACGATAAATCACTCCAATAACACTTTCTGACGAACGTTGAAAACTTTTTTTTTTTGAAAAAATTCTAATAATTATTCGTTTCTTTTTATGAGAATTATAAATACTTTTCCTCTTATTTTTATTGATTAAAATTAAACAAGAAACGCTTATACAAATATCGATTTGCATGGTTTCCCATATTCTTTTATCTCATTCAACTAGTAAGCAACAAAAGAATCGTTTCACAACTTTATCGAAATTCCACTATTCATCCCTTTCACACGACAAACTTCCTTTGACAGGTTATTCAATTATCCTATATTGTATAATCGAACAAAGACAATCATAACAATCATAGAGTTGGACATACGTGAAATAACAATTCTATGAAAGAATAACATCTTACAATATGAACGATATCTCATTTGCGACTCGATAAAAAATTACAAGATCTAGATCATGTCTACTAAAATTTACAAAATTTGCTTGCGAAATTCCATTTCATTTATCTTAATAGTATAGTATAAAAAAATTTATTATCTAATAATATGATAACGATTAATAATTGATTATTCAAAAAGTCTTAAAAATTCCTGATTGAATCCTACAAATATACTAGGAATTTTAGTACCAGAAATATTTTATCGTATCTTTCTCTCTTAAGTAACGTTGTTTTATGCTTCGATTCGACAAGCTTCCTTCGATTAATCGGTGCATGCATCGTTAATTTTTAACAAAAAAAAAAAAAAATACGCGATGAAACGTAATCAAGAGCGTGAGATCGGTTCGGTTCTTAAAACCTCGCGAACCTTGGAGATAAACTTGCTCGCATTTATATTTATCGGGACAGATAATTATCGTCGTTATCGTGTGTCTAGATTGCTCAAGCACGAAATCGTCTTCTTACAACCGCGATTTCAATGACCGTCGTTCGGCCAAGGTGTTGTTATCAGTCTTATCTTTGTTGTTTAATTACGAAAAAGAAATGCGAATCTTAATAAAGAAAATCTTTATTGAAAAGATTGATGATGTTGCTTGGAATTTGTCATTTTTGCAGTTAGATATAAAGGAAGTTTGATTGAAAAATAAATTTGGAAATTGAGGAGATTTTTTTTGGATAGAATAATTTTACAGATAAATTATTTTTAATTGTATGTTGTGTGGTGAATATTATATCAATCCTTTTTTTTTTATTTTGTAATATAGAACTTTCTATTTTCTCCTTCTGAAATATATTTCGTAATAAAATTGAGAGGAATATTTTTGAAATATTTTTATGATAGAAATGTATATCGTCTATTGATATATATTTCCATCATATAGAAATATATAATTTCATAATAAAAATTATTGTTTCATTGATCTGTTATTAAAGGAAGTAAAATAAATGAGATACTTTTGTAGAAAGTAAAATTATCTTATCTCGCACTTTCAAACTGTATCTCCTTAGGAAATTTTGTTTAAAAAGTAGACAGTCGATATTAACATTCGATGCTTTAACATAAATATCGACTTAAGAAGTCCAAATCCAAATTGTTCTATCGAAATTTAATGATTGTTCCTTTGTTTTTAGATTTTTGTTACAATTTTCCCTTTATTGTTATTTGTAGTTATTTGAAAATACAGGAAAAATGTTATATGAAGTTTGTCTGTGAATCTTGTTGTCAAGGCAAGTATTGAACGCAGTCTGAATATAGTTTCGAATTCTTCTTCGGGAATATAAAAAGTCAATCATTTTTAATTTATCTTTAAATTTCCTTATGAAAAATATTTAGATACCTTCATGAATCACACTCTATCACAATAAAAAACTTGAAATTAAATGTGTACACTAAATCAGCCAATATATTCAAGCAATGTCAATTATGCAAAAATATTTATCATAAATCCATTTACTAGCTATCAGTACATATCATGCATCGATTAATAAATGTGCACATTTGTTCGTTCAGCATCGAAAAGAAACGAACGAATTTAATCACAGTGCCGGAAAAGAGAAACTAGGATACTCTGTAAAAAGTCAAGAAAAGAAAAAAAATGCTTTGAATTGGAGTTGCAGAAAATTTCGAATTTCCTGTTGAAACTGGAATATAGAACAGTACTGTTCAACGAATCGAAGGTCAGAAACGAGTCATCGCGCCAACCTGAACTTTGTCAGCGAAGGTAGCCAAGTGACGTCACATTGGCCGACCTTATGTCATTACGTAGGAAACCGGTCTCCGCTTTTCCTCCTTTATACATCGAGTTCCTTCGAGGATACCTCGAATAGATAAAATTATTTATGACATTCCTTCGGTTCTAGTTGGCGTAGTTTCTATCTGACTTCATGCGTGGTTCGTGGCGTTGTTGCATATGTGAAATTGTGCAATTGTTAATTGGAGACAATGAGGAAGAATTCGTTGAATTCATTGAATGGATATGATTGGAATAATTTTGTTTGGATAAGAATTTGTTGATAGTGAGAATATTGTTATTTGGATATTTGTGATATTAAGTATCGATAAGATAAAACGAAATAATGATAATTAATAGTGGTGGTGACATGAAAAAGTGTGATAGTCAATAATAATTTTATAAGAGTTGTTGAATTTTGAAATTAATCGTAGAAGTAATGACAGTTAAATAGATATCTCGAATAGAATTGAATAGACAGTGTTTCAAAGAATTTTTCTACTGATTATAGCGATAAGATAAAATTAACTTTGGCGAGTGTTGGTAAAAAGTACAAAGTATTAAAATAAAATAATTGAAATTAATTAAAATAAAAGATCACCGATGCATCAAGTGAAAGAAAATTCTAATAGTAACGAAAAATATTGAAACGAATTTTATTAATTTTATTAATTTAAAATTCAAATTCGTTTGAAACGTAATTCGTCATCAAACATCAAACAAAACGTCGAAGAATATTGTTCGAACGAAAATGGAATAAAATTGTAGAAAGAATAGAAAAAAAAAGAAAAAAAAACAACGAAGAAAATTTGCTAAATGCAATATTCTAATAAACTAGGAAAATTGTTAGAAGCAAGTCGTGCTCGAGATATGAACCTGGTCTCGATCGTAATCTGTATATCAGTATCGTAGAGATAAAACGTTTCCTCCAGAATGTTATTCGCGTTTGTCAAAAGAAAACGTGTATACGACCATTACTCATTCACGCGTGACACACACGTATCGTGATAGATTTCGCGCGAATCAATTTTCCCGATTCGATTAATCGTTTCCATCCATGTATTTTCCCCCGATCTCCAACAGCTGGAACTTGTTGCGTTCCCTCGAAACGTGTCATTTTCCACGAACAAAATCCGTGAAAATGCTTCCGACCGCATGATATCAACGATTGTGTAACGTGATGATTTTACTCATCACTGCCCATTGTCATTCGTTTCCATTCGAATTTTTACGATACTTTACTATGAATCGTAGTGAATTGTACGGCAATAATAATAGAGAATTGTCTGTATTTCCGAATGATTATTAATATTCATCATGAATTTTCGCGAGTACAAATGAGAGAATATTGTAGGATACTTTGTATATTTCGAACGAATAATAATGCATACTTCTAGCTCTTTTGATACGTTCAAACGTACACCATATGCTATCTTTATAGGTGAGCAAACAATCCACTAATTGTTTTAGAGATACTAGATACGAAAGATTTTATTAGAACTTCATCACAGGGCCAAATTGATATAGACCCTCTTTATCACTCTTGTGAATAGTAGTATGATGTTACATATTCACGCGTCAACACCTACCATCGTAGTTTATTAAACTAGTCAACAATTACAATTATTATTTCCCAGATCATACATCTATTCTCAATCATAACTCTTTCCTCTCTTACAAAACTCTACATCATAAGCTTCAACTCTAAAATTCTAATCGTTCTCTTAAAAAGCGAAAGACAAAGAGAGAGAAAAAAACGAAAATTGCTTACCATTGCCGCGGTCTGCGATATGCTCGCCTTCTCCTCCTCCTCGGCCCGCGAAACGACGAACAGAGTCGCCAACAGGGCACAACTTCCGGCACATCTTTTCCAGCTTAAAGTACCATTCCACCTGGCCATCGTTCCGTCGATCAATTATTCCAAGTAAACCCAAAACAAGTGCAACTACGTCGCCTATCGGACGATCACCGATAGATCAAATCTATCCTCACAAAGACTCTCGGCCCTCAGAACGTCCCTTCACCCCTGCGACACTGACTGCACACACGTGTTCCGCGTCTGATCGCAGAATAACGTGACTCGAGTAAAATCCACGTGATTCTCTCGATCCTTGGAAACGATTCGACCACTCTCTCTCCCCCAACTTCCGGGCGAGAAGTTTCCGCGCGGGAAAAGGATCGAGATCGGCCTGCTCCCAAGCCTCGTTCCAACTCCCGCCTCGCAGCGGCTCGCCAGGTAGACAGGGTCAGTGTGAAACGTCGTTGCCACGACACTATCGATTTCGCGTGTTCCCCACGACCTGCTAGCCACCTCTTTCTCCACCAAAGAACCCCTCGGTAACGGTCCTCGTAGCAGCAGTAGCGGACACGCAGAGGCACGCACAGCTCTTCGAGAACCGAACGTCTCCTCTTCCTCGATCCTCCTCCTCCTCCTCCTCCTCCTCGAAATTTATCCAAAGACTCGAGAGATTATTGCCACGATTCTTCGACGGTGAAGAGGCGATCGAGACGAAGGATTTCGCGCTGAGCAGGAGAGACGAAGAGAGAGAGAGAGAGAGAGAGAGTGAGAGAAGAGAGAGAAAGAAAAAAAGTAAAGAGAGGAACACGGAGAGGAAAGGACGCGGCCGTACGGGGAACTGGTACCGGAGTCTACCGCCACTCTGAATTACAATCAGTCTGCCACTGACTTTTATTGAGGCCTCCCACCACGCGGCTGCTGACTACCACCATCACCGGCCGAGCATAGAATGCAAGCACACGTCTGCTCGGTTTCACGATGGATCGTTTTATCTTTCTCCCCTTCGTTTCTCTCCCGAGTTATTTTTTTTTCTTTTTCTTTTTTTGATATTCGCTGGACACGGTACGCGTTGGACGAAGGGATAGATAAAGGGATAGGGTTAGATTGGGGTGATAGGTGTTTTTTTTCTTTATCGGATGAGTACATTGTCGAGGAGTCGGTGGGATGAGGAGCGTAGATAGGGAAGGGAAGTGGAAGATGTTGTGACATCGTTGGGGAGATGCGTGTAATGGGTAAGCGTGATCCGATTGCGGTGTTCGTAGGAATAGAGGAGTGGCTAGGAAATATCCTTGCGATTGGGAATCGTGGCGATGACGAGTTTGCGTTGGGTCAGGGATTCGACGCGATGCGATCTTTGGATGCGTGCAAGCGTGATTTCGAAGGGAAGGGTATTATTGGTTTTTTCTTTTTTTTTTTTGCTTTTCAGTTTTTTAGTGAAACGTCTATTGGTTTGTGGTGTGGGAGTTGATTGTGATTCGATTAACGATCGGGTAGTAGAATTGTTGTGTTTCGAAATTTGAAATTTGATGTACATTTTCTTTTCATTCGTGAATTTTTGCTTGATGATTAGAAATAACAGTTTATTTTTTGTTTTATCTTATCTTATATAGGTTTCGATATAGGTTTGATCTATCTTTGAAATTTGAAATTAGTTTATTAGTGTTTTGTTCCGAATAGAAATTTAAACAGAATTATAATTTAATTATTGTATTAGAAATTGACAACTAGTTTGGAACGAATCAATATTCGTAGCGGATAAATTATTGGACGGAGCAGTAATTAAAATATCGTTTATTATTCGTAGACGTGAAGATTCGTAGAGACATTTTGAAAGTCAGCCAGGTGGTTCCATTCCTTTGACCGGAAATGCTTTTAAAATGAAAAAAGTATACGCGGAACTGTCTGATTCATTGGCGATTGTCAAAAAAGAGAATCGTCATCTTGTGTATAATAAATCTTGTGGACGAATAATTTCATCGATAATTTAAATGTGATTATTAAGAAAATTTTAATTTCTGAAAGGAATAATCAAAATTTTATTGGAATAAAAAAATACGCCGATCGTTTAAAACACTTTTGTCTTTGTGCGAGTTGCAGTTTATCACGATTTTTATCTTGATCGGTCGCAGAATACGATATGCATTTCCGTATTCCATAATAGCGCAAGGCACACCATTGTCCCTTTTCTTTTGTTAAGAAAGAAAAACGATTTTCCATTTGCAATCGTGTCGGTCGCTGGATTTTCTTCTTTCTTTTTCGCATAATTGCAATAATACCGTGACACAATCATTAATTTTTTAATAAGCTTAAAATTTCTCTTACCAGAATTTCTATTTTGTTTCAAGTTTTCTTCTTTTATAATTTCCCAATTATCTCATTGATTTTCACAAATGTGATCTAAATGAAATATTCAAAAGCTTATTGCTGCACGCTTCATCGATTTAAAGAATATTATTACAATCCTGTACAAATTTTCCTTAAAAAATTCCTTAAAAAATTGTTCTTCCGCTAGCAATGGTACAAATTGTGCATTACGCACACGGTGCTCATGAATAAATGATTCGACGATGCCGAGTTATCCGAAAAACTGTTTCTGAAAATAATTTTCGAGGCAAACAATATGATTTAAGGTAAGCCTCACTTGCAATAAACTTGATTTCTTTTCCATTCTAGTTTCGTATAAATAAAATAAAGTTTCCTGAATTTTGCCTCTTTTCTCGTTCCCCCCTCTTTCATTCTGCTTTCACGTTTCTTCCAATGGATCGAAATCGAGGTGATATAATTTATGCAAACCTTGTGAAACGTGGAGTTGTTGTAATACCAATTGAATGGACACGATGCACAGTGGTTTTGTCGCGTAATATTCACGCAAAACAGTGATCTCCTGGTGAGCACACTTTCGAAAACCTGTTTTTTAAACAACACTATCTCCTTTGCTTGGTTTCGTTACCGATGCCTATGCTTTTTCCTCGATAAAGAGATCTATTTGTAACAAAACGTTTGTTTGAAAAATTCTTTTTCAAATTAGAAGAATGCAGTACATCAATTAACTTTAGCCTGATAGGATAGAAAATTGTAAAAATATCAGAAAAGATGGTAGGAAATACAAAATTAAATTAAATGATCGATCAAATTATCATTCAAAACATAATATCTTCTTTTATTTTTTACTTGTCAGAATCGTGTGAATTTTTGTTCATGTATAATTCGATCACTCTTGATTATCCTTGAATCCTTCCTGACAAATCATTTTTGAGCTTTTACACTCATCGCACAATGGAAGAAAGAAAACATTGATCCTTCGATCAATCGTTTAAAAACCTTGTACTTCGAAGACTGCATTATAATCATCCAAGATTGGAACAAAGAGCAATCGAATTTCATTATACGAAGATCAGAACAATGGGTGTGGACGAATTTCATTGGTATAAGTCCGATCGAGGAAATTGTACAGGCGAATCTGTGAATCATCCAGCTTTTCGAGCCTTTTTTCCATTCTCGAAAATTTCTTCTTAGAGTCCATACTCGAAGACTGCTCCATCCTCGATCGGGTTTGTCGAACGAATTTCGAATGCAAATCGATTTCAGCGAGTAATCGCCTTACAAATTCGATTTAATTCGAATGTTTCGAATGATTCGTAATAATAATGCACGGATCCTTCAAAATGTATAAATTAATAGAAAATTGATGATTAGAAGCACTTGATTACATATTAATTCTAATTCTAAAGAAGAGAGTTTAAGTTGAAAGAGACGTAAGGAATAGAGATGAATTATATATAAACACATAGATATCTATGTGGAAAGATAGATAATTGATAAAAGTTGTTAAGTGAGATTTTGTTAAAAATGATGAGGCTTAAAGGCTTAAATAAACGACGAGTCAAGAAGAATACGAGAATAGTGATTAATTTTTGCAAAATTAATGTAATAAATTTAAATTATATTTAAACGATTCATAGCAATAACATATGGGATCGTTCAAAATGTATGTAAATTGACGATAAGAAGTAATTTCTCGTGAAATATAAATTAAAATTTTTTTTTTTTAATAAGAAACTTATTAATTATAATTTCGTTGAAGGTGATAATAGAAATAATTAATATTCACAAGTACGTGATTTAAATAGTTACAATAACTATCGATCGATTGTGTGCAAATTAATCGAAGGAAATTTATTCTGTTAGCTACTTTGTTTTACTCATTCTTAGAATGATTCATTTCTAGAACATTATGATAATTATCAATCTTTTTTCTAATCTTTGGTTAGATAAAGTTTATATTAAGAATTATCGTTGGTAAAAATTTTCTAAATATTTCGTATTTGGAAATATAGATTCAAGAATTTCTGTGTGTAAATATTATATATTTAATTACGCGTGATAAAATTGCGAATTATTGTCGATTGATTAGCCGGTAAATCGTTGTTATTAGCACGAAATTGATTAATACATACATTTTTCGCTTATCAGTGTGTTTGCAACACGTCTTTTTTCTTCATAGAGATTATTTCATGGAACAATTTGTTATATATTAAAAAGTATTCGATTCTTCTTTTTTTTCTAGAAACTCGAAGAAATGTTTTAAAAGAAAATAAGATAAATCTTATTACACAAATTATCAGGTTTCTTTTCAATTGAAAAATTTTAATGAAGCAAAACAAAGTAAATAATAGAATCGCGGAAATACATTGAATTATTAGAGAATAAGTTAGAGAATACTTTTTTTTTTGATGTAAAATAATGTAAAATTTTAAGATTTATTTTTCTTAGTTGTAATAAACTTGGACTCATTTTTAAATCGAAAAACTATATTCCACAAGAAATTTAATAATAGTTTCTAAATTTCCAAATCGATTCAACTTTCAAACAACACTCAAGATAACGCATTGAAATTACTTCAACAAAACGAAAACTATAATCTATCGAAATATCACATTAAAATCATACATTATACATTAACAAAATAATTATATTCTATTCTTAGAAATCGATTTATCCGTTAATTCGCTTCTCTCTTGAAGTACCTCGATTCGGCTGCATTTAAATAAGCTTAGGGCCGAATTAATGCAAATGCATTCGACGATGCTATCGTCGGGTCAACTGTAGGGTCAGGAAAAAAGGAGGCGCACGTCTTTACCCCTTTCGGTCGAAATAAAACGTCGAACAGGCCACTACATTCCTCTTCTCTCTCTCTCTCTTTCTCTCTCTCTCCAATCAGCTCTCCCTCTCCTATTTTCATTCAAAATAGCTCCCTTCTTTCGTTTTCGTCGATTCACATTTGGCTCACGTC